CTTTATTTCCTTCCATTTCTCCCCTTTACTTTCAATATTCTCTGAGCAGAGGAAACCAGTCAGGAAATGTGTAATAATGTAAATGAGAACACAAGTATTAACTAACGATTAACCAGCAGTTGTCAGGTCAGTGCAGACAGCAGTGAAGCATGCTACTTAGGTTAGATCAAGGTAAACACTCTGCACACGACCCTTTGCAGTGCAAGTGAAACACCACAAGGGGCAGCAAAGACACAGGAAAATGGCAGCAGCTCCAGCTTGTGAGCCTCCTTCCCTTTTCCTCTGGATTCTGCAGGCTGTGTGAAGGGTTCACAACACGCCCCCACGGTCGCATATACCAGGAAACCGAGCAGGTGCTTCCAGGTGCCCTGCGCCTGGAAACCCATGAACCGGGGAATCTGCTCCGTATGCGACAGACCGCTCTCCATTTGCCTGAACCGCATCCAAATTGCATCCAACACCGCTTTCTTTGATTGGTGAGTTACCCTATTTTTCAGCCAGCGTAAACGGTTTCCTGAATCTGTGGGGACGACCGTTGATCGTCCGGCGCCTCACACGTATTCTTGAGACCAGGGGAACCCCTGACCACGGTCTTCATTGGCTACGGTCGGCCCCTATTGCAGGCCTAACTTTTCTAGCCGTCGCCCATGTCTGCAGCCTGAGATATTTCTCGCGTTAGGGCCACCACCGTTGGTGCGTCCTGGGAGCCACGTGAGGCCGGCACGTCCATCTCCTTGACGAAGGGGCAAACCTTGTCTGGATTCCTGGGGAATCCTTTCCTCACCGTGGAGGGGGACCTGCTTTTGTGGCTGACAAGTCAAGGAGCAGTCGGCACCCGGTATCTGTCCTTGGCCTTGGGGACACCTGGGGCCTTGGCTCCGGATCATGTTTATTTTTTATTTTTTTTATTATTTTTCTGCCTCTGCTGCAGACATGGGAAACAAGGCTTCTAACCCTGTTAGTCCTTCCTCTCCATTAGGCTGTCTTGTTGAAGCTTTAAAACCTCTCAGTTTAATGCCTTACATAAAGATTTCTAAGCTAACTCGTCTATGTTCAAAAAGTGGCCAAAGTATGCTTTAGAGAATAACAAAAAATGGCCACCTAGCAGCTCCTTGGATCCCGGTATTTTGCGGGAGCTATCCAATCACTCAGCGTTCAGGCAAATGGAAAGAGTTGCTTTCTTCTTTCTCAATGCTAAACTGTCTCTTCTCGTTTCCTTTTCTCCTGCTCATATGCTCCTAGCTATACGTAAACCAGAGGATCCTCTGACTCCAGAATCTCTGACTCTAGATCTTGCTAAGGAACCAATGATTAAAATTCATGTTCCATCCTCTCTCTCTAACAGAACTCTCTCAGATAGAAAGTAAGCTGGTTTCTTATACGTCTAATTCTGCTTCCTTTATTAAACAGTTTCAATATATAACTCAATCTTATAGTCTCACCTTTCATGACTTCCTGAGGAGCTCAGGTGGGTATGGGAGCAGGCTAGGACTCATGCAGACGAAATTCATCAAACTAACCTTTCACACCCCCCAGGAGCTGAAGCAGTTCCTAATCGAGAACCACACTGGGACTACAACACCCAGAGTGGCTGTCTAGCCAGAGATAGGTTTATTACCTGTCT